TCCTGGAGAGCGAAACGTTGCCACAATAAATGTCACATTAGTTGCACTTGTGTCCTTTTACTTTACATATTGTCGGTAATTCTACCAACTTTATTACAATAACAGCCTGGTTGGTCACGCCCTGATCCACCACGAGGCCTGGTCATGGATCGGGTCTCGGGGGCGTTTACCCCTGGAACACCCTCCAGGAATACCCTCCAGGTATACCTCCCTCTTCCCCTCCTTTTAAATCCCATTATGCCATTTTCATTTTGTCTCTGCCTTTTCCTCCATTTATTTCACTTCCTCTAGTTCCTTCTGAAGTTTTTACAACTCTTCTTCAGCTGCCACTGACTTTCTCTCTTGTTCTTTCTCTTCCTTATTTATTTTTTCCCTTCCGTCTCCTCAGATCATTCAGCTTTCTTCCAAGTCTTCTATCTTGCATCTAAATTTACTTAGTATCTGTTCTTCTCCTGAAGTATACCTGGAGGGGTCTTCGGGGGTCAACGCCCCCGAGGACTGGTCCGTGACCAGGCCTCGTGGTTAATCAGAGACTCATCAACCAGGTTGTTACTGCTGGCAGCACGCAAACCAACGTACGAACCACAGCCCGGCTGGTCAGGTACTGACTTTAGGTGCCTGTCCAGTGCCTTCTTGAAGACAGCCAGGGGTCTATCGGTAATCCCGTTATGTATGCTGGGAGGCAGCTGAACAGTCTTGGAGCCCGTGACACTTATTGTGTTGTCTCTCGGTTACATCTCCACCTCAGTTTCTGTTCTATTTATTTTTATGATTCCTTTGTCTTTCTACTAAGTCAGACTCACTGGTTGCCCCGAGGACCGTCATGGGTTCAATACTGCACATAAACAATATCACCCACGAAGGTACTTCCTCTGTGCCATATACTTGTGAAGCCTCCTCTCTGAACTGGTTCATGTCAGGGGCAGTCAAACTGCCTTAGTTCATGTCATGGAGACAGTCAAACTGCCCTGGTTCATGCCATGGGGACAGTCAAACTGCCCTGGTTCATATCATGGGAGTAGGCAAACTGCCCTGGCTCATGCCATGGGAGCAGTCAAACTGCCCTGGTTCATGCCATCGTTGCAGTCAAATTGCCCTGGTTCATGTGATAGGGCAGTCAAACTGCCCTAGTTCAATTCATGGGAGCAAACTGCCCTGGTTCAATTCATGGGAGCAAACTGCCCTGGTTTATGTCATGAGAGCAATCAAACTGCCCTGGTTCATGTCATCGTTGCAGTCAAACTGCCCTGGTTCATGTCATCGTTGCAGTCACACTGCCCTGGTTCATGTCACGGGGGCAGTCAAACTGCCCTGGTTCATGTCATGAAGGCAGTCAAACTGCCCTGGTTCATGTGATGGTTGCAGTCAAACTGCCCTGGTTCATGTGATGGTTGCAGTTAAACTGCCCTGGTTCATGTCATGAAGGCAGTCAAACTGCCCTGGTTCATGTCATGAAGGCAGTTAAACTGCCCTGGTTCATGTCATGAAGGCAGTCAAACTGCCCTGCTTCATGTCATGAAGGTAGTCAAACTGCCCTGGTTCACGTCATGGAGGCAGTCAAAATCTACGCTAGTTCACGGAGCAGTGTTAGAGAGAAAGATTAAGAGAGGGAGAGTGTGCGTGAAGGTATCTCTAGGCAGGTGTTTCTGTACATAGTTGAGAGAGAGAAGAGAATATTCGTGTTTATGTAGTTTTGCTACGACGGGTCCTCCCCAGGTCTTCTCCAGGTAGTGACCCGGCAGTGGCTCCCGAAAGAGTGCCAACATGTACACGTGATGTACTGTTTACAGCCCTATGGCAAGGGCACGGTGGGTCTTCAGGTCAAGTGGAGTACCGCTTATAGCCCTATGACGGGGGCAGCCCTATGACAAGGGCACGGTGACAACTCCATTTGAGTCATTCCTGCCACTCAGGCAACAGCCCGAGTGCCAGAACGACTCAGCAGATTCTCTGGAGGTGTGTTGACCACCTGACGTCTGACAGAAGTGACCCGGAGAGAGAGAAAGGGGGGGTAGGGGCAGGGGTCGCCAGGCAGCTAGCAAACATCATCACGTACACTAACGACGGGCGCCAGCCAACACTAACCTGACGCTGGCTGGCATCCTCCTCCTCCTCCTCCTCCTGGACATACTCTCCCCGTGGTGTGACACAACTAACTCCCTCACTCTGTATTCCAGCACACCCCTCGACACTATCCTCAGACTGTTGAACACTCAAAACTGTTAACTGCAGACTCCAGCGTATGTAACGCCACTGGCCGGCGACCCTCTCTCACGCTCCCATGAAGTCTGTTCATCCAAAATCACTACATATACTTTCTTTAATATTAAGTGAGCAACCCACTTAATATTAAAGAATTTACACAATATAACAACCGAGGAAATAAACTCAATACTGACAGTCATGCAGTCACAATGTTTATACACGAGGTAATACTGACCGTCATGCAGTTACAATGTTTATACACGAGGTAATAACTGAACACTGAACTTCGTTATACTGCGTCTGTTAATTATAATCTGCGTTATACAATATTAAGTTGGTTGTGTGGAAGCAAGACAACCCAACCCAACTTAACCAAGAAATCTGCTGCAAACTGTATGTGAGAAGTCTACATAGATGTTTATGAGAGTTAAGACGATGGGTGCTACATGAAGCACTCACTGAGTCACTACATGAAGCACTCACTGGGTCACTACACGAACTCACTTGGTCAATACATGCGATACACGAAGCACTCACTGGGTCACTACATAAACTGTCATCAATATTCATCTCAGGAAAGACTCGGAGAATTCCTCACGTCTGGGACCAACAGCTACCAAGATGCTAATGAGCGACCAAACTCCCGCACACATACAAGCACCAGTGAGTGCTGGATATCAGCAGTCTTCAGCCTAGTACTCACTAAACATACAAGCACCAGTGAGTGCTGGATATCAGCAGTCTTCAGCCTAGTACTCACTAAACATACAAGCACCAGTGAGTGCTGGATATCAGCAGTCTTCAGCCTAGTACTCACTAAACATACAAGTACCAGTGAGTGCTGGATATCAGCAGTCTTCAACCTGGTACTCACTAAACATACAAGCACCAGTGAGTGCTGGATATCAGCAGTCTTCAGCCTAGTACTCACTAAACATACAAGCACCAGTGAGTGCCGGATATCAGCAGTCTTCAGCTAGTACTCACTAAACATACAAGCACCAGTGAGTGCTGGATATCAGCAGTCTTCAGCCTAGTACTCACTAAACATACAAGCACCAGTGAGTGCTGGATATCAGCAGTCTTCAGCCTAGTACTCACTAAACATACAAGCACCAGTGAGTGCTGGATATCAGCAGTCTTCAGCCTAGTACTCACTAAACATACAAGCACCAGTGAGTGCTGGATATCAGCAGTCTTCAGCCTAGTACTCACTAAACATACAAGCACCAGTGAGTGCTGGATATCAGCAGTCTCAGCCTGGTACTCACTAAACATACAAGCACCAGTGAGTGCTGGATATCAGCAGTCTTCAGCCTAGTACTCACTAAACATACAAGCACCAGTGAGTGCTGGATATCAGCAGTCTTCAGCCTAGTACTCACTAAACATACAAGCACCAGTGAGTGCTGGATACAGCAGTCTTCAGCCTGGTATCACTAAACAATACAAGCACCAGTGAGTGCTGGATATCAGCAGTCTTCAGCCTAGTACTCACTAAACATACAAGCACCAGTGAGTGCTGGATAACAGCAGTCTTCTGCCTAGTACTCACTAAACATACAAACACCAATGAGTGCTGGATAACAGCAGTCTTCAGCCTAGTACTCACTAAACATACAAGCACCAATGAGTGCTGGATATCAGCAGTCTTCAGCCTGGTACTCACTAAACATACAAGCACCAGTGAGTGCTGGATAACAGCAGTCTTCAGCCTAGTACTCACTAAACATACAAGCACCAGTGAGTGCTGGATAACAGCAGTCTTCAGCCTGGTACTCACTAAACATACAAGCACCAGTGAGTGCTGGATATCAGCAGTCTTCAGCCTAGTACTCACTAAACATACAAGCACCAATGAGTGCTGGATATCAGCAGTCTTCAGCCTGTACTCACTAAACATACAAGCACCAGTGAGTGCTGGATATCAGCAGTCTTCAGCCTGGTACTCACTAAACATACAAGCACCAGTGAGTGCTGGATATCAGCAGTCTTCAGCCTAGTACTCACTAAACATACAAGCACCAGTGAGTGCTGGATATCAGCAGTCTTCAGCCTAGTACTCACTAAACATACAAGCACCAGTGAGTGCTGGATATCAGCAGTCTTCAGCCTGGTACTCACTAAACATACAAGCACCAGTGAGTGCCGGATATCAGCAGTCTTCAGCCTGGTACTCACTAAACATACTGTCATTCATAACATTCAACAGTTATACCCTCAGTTTCGTGTACGACTTCTACTTATCTTTCTACGAAAATGTGTGTGAGTGTATGTGTTATGTTTGCACTCAGGGTTGCAATGAGTGATTACCACAGAAACGCATCAGTGATGTTTCTCTCCCCATCCTTTCCTTGGTCTTCCCAACTCTTCCCGCCCGGGACAGACACTCTCGGTTCATCACTCTAGGAATATCTAAATTCCTTATGCAAAAAATTCTAGTCATTATGAAGGAAAGTGTAGTTGTACCCCAGCAACTGAGGAAGGTGTGTGTGAACGCTGACACTAAACATTCTGGTCACTCCTCACCATCTACAAACACGTACTTGCTTCCTCTTTAACTTTACTAGTAACAAAAATTGTAAAAAAAAAAAATTTTTTTTTTTTTTTTTTTGCAGACCATTCCGCGTTACTTCGTTGTTCTCCCTTCAGATACTGCCACACTGGAAGCTACCAGCACTCAGATGATACGTGGCACTCAACAATCAAGACGACGAATTCAGGTTAATCAGATCCCATTACAACAAATATTGACAGTTGAAGCCACCACCTGCCATACGACGGAAGGTACTCACCAATCTTCTTGTTGATAGTGATGGCTGGACCTAGCTGAGAGTCTGAGAGGACGGCCGCCACGCTGAAGGTGTAGTCAGTGTTGGGGTGGATACAGTAGTTGCAGTCCTCAGGGTTCAGTGTGAAGCTGCACCGCTGATCAGTACACTGTAGGGAGGATAAGAACACACCAGGTCACTGATCTACTCGGACTAGGCTGGAGGAAGAAGGTAAGGGAGACTACGAGTCTAGTGGTGCATACAGAGATCAACTGGAAGAAGGTAAGGGAGACTACGAGTATAGTGGTGCATACAGAGATCAACTGAGTGTATGGCGTACATAACTTGACGAGTCAAGGAGCGATATATCTGACAAGTAACTGACCCTCCAACAGTGCTGGTGCTAAGCTGGTTATGATGGTGCTAAGCTAGTTGTTATAGTGGAGCTAAACTGGTTACTATGATGGAGCTAAGCTGGTTGTTATGGTGGTGTTAAGGTGGTAGCAGAATACTGTCGGTGACGTTATGTTAGGACGGTAATGCTAGGCTGGTTACCTCATTACCTGTATATTGTTATTTCGTCCTGGTTATTAAAACAGTAGCATGATATTATGATTAAATTAAATGCTCTGAAGAAATGAGGTAAGAGATGGTAGGAAAGGTAGGTAGAGCAATGCAATGTACAAGCAGAATATAAGTAGCCTAATACAATTGATCTACCTTCCCTACAGCTTATTATAGCTGATCCACCTTTCCTGCAGCTTATCACAACTGATCCACCTTCCCTACAGCCTATTATAGTTGATCCACCTTTCATGAAGCCCATCACAACTGATCCACCTTCCCTGCAGCCTGTCTTAAGTGATCCACCTTCCCTGCAGCCTATCACAACTGATCCACCTTCCTTGCATCCTATCATAAGTGATCCACTTTCCCTGCAGCCTATCACAACTGATCCACCTTCCTTGCAGCCTATTATAGCTGATCCACCTTCCTTGCAGCCTATTATAGCTGATCCACCTTCCTTGCAGCCTATCACAACTGATCCACCTACCCTACCTCTCACAACTGATCCACCTTCCCTACAACCTATCACAATTGATCCACCTTCCCTACAACCTCTCACAACTGATCCACCTTCCCTGTAGACTATCACAACTGATCCACCTTCCCTGTAGACTATCACAACTGATCCACCTTCCCTGTAGACTATCACAACTGATCCACCTTCCCTGTAGACTATCACAACTGATCCACCTTCCCTACAACCTCTCACAACTGATCCACCTTCCCTGTAGACTATCACAACTGATCCACCTTCCCTGTAGACTATCACAACTGATCCACCTTCCCTGTAGACTATCACAACTGATCCACCTTCCCTACAACCTCTCACAACTGATCCACTTCCCTGTAGACTATCACAACTGATCCACCTTCCCTGTAGACTATCACAACTGGTCCACCTTCCCTGTAGACTATCACAACTGATCCACCTTCCCTGTAGACTATCACAACTGATCCACCTTCCATGTAGACTATCACAACTGATCCACCTTCCCTACAACCTCTCACAACTGATCCACCTTCCCTGTAGACTATCACAACTGATCCACCTTCCCTGTAGACTATCACAACTGGTCCACCTTCCCTGTAGACTATCACAACTGATCCACCTTCCCTGTAGACTATCACAACTGATCCACCTTCCCTGTAGACTATCACAACTGGTCCACCTTCCCTGTAGACTATCACAACTGGTCCACCTTCCCTGTAGACTATCACAACTGATCCACCTTCCCTGTAGACTATCAACTGATCCACCTTCCCTACAACCTCTCCAACTGATCCACCTTCCCTGTAGACTATCACAACTGATCCACCTTCCCTGTAACTATCACAACTGGTCCACCTTCCCTGTAGACTATCACAACTGATCCACCTTCCCTGTAGACTATCACAACTGATCCACCTTCCCTGTAGACTATCACAACTGATCCACCTTCCCTGTAGACTATCACAACTGGTCAACCTTCCCTGTAGACTATCACAACTGATCCACCTTCCCTGTAGACTATCACAACTGATCCACCTTCCCTGTAGACTATCACAACTGATCCACCTTCCCTACAACCTCTCACAACTGATCCACCTTCCCTGTAGACTATCACAACTGATCCACCTTCCCTGTAGACTATCACAACTGATCCACCTTCCCTGTAGACTATCACAACTGATTCACCTTCCCTGTAGACTATCACAACTGATCCACCTACCCTGTAGACTATCACAACTGATCCACCTTCCCTGTAGACTATCACAACTGATCCACCTACCCTGCAGACTATCACAACTGATCCACCTTCCCTGTAGACTATCACAACTGATCCACCTTCCCTGTAGACTATCACAACTGATCCACCTACCCTGTAGACTATCACAACTGATCCACCTACCCTACCTCTCACAACTGATCCACCTTCCCTACAACCTCTCACAACTGATCCACCTTCCCTGTAGACTATCACAACTGATCCACCTTCCCTGTAGACTATCACAACTGATCCACCTTCCCTGTAGACTATCACAACTGATTCACCTTCCCTGTAGACTATCACAACTGATCCACCTTCCCTGTAGACTATCACAACTGATCCACCTTCCCTGTAGACTATCACAACTGATCCACCTTCCCTGTAGACTATCACAACTGATCCACCTTCCCTGTAGACATCACAACTGATCCACCTTCCCTGTAGACTATCACAACTGATCCACCTTCCCTGTAGACTATCACAACTGATTCACCTTCCCTGTAGACTATCACAACTGATCCACCTCCCTGTAGACTATCACAACTGATCCACCTTCCCTGTAGACTATCACAACTGATCCACCTTCCCTGTAGACTATCACAACTGATCCACCTTCCCTACAACCTCTCACAACTGATCCACCTTCCCTGTAGACTATCACAACTGATCCACCTTCCCTGTAGACTATCACAACTGATCCACCTTCCCTACAACCTCTCACAACTGATCCACCTTCCCTGTAGACTATCACAACTGATCCACCTTCCCTGTAGACTATCACAACTGATCCACCTTCCCTACAACCTCTCACAACTGATCCACCTTCCCTGTAGACTATCACAACTGATCCACCTTCCCTGTAGACTATCACAACTGATCCACCTTCCCTGTAGACTATCACAACTGATCCACCTTCCCTACAACCTATCACAACTGATCCACCTTCCCTGTAGACTATCACAACTGATCCACCTTCCCTGTAGACTATCACAACTGATCCACCTCCCTACAACCTCTCACAACTGATCCACCTTCCCTGTAGACTATCACAACTGATCCACCTTCCCTACAACCTCTCACAACTGATCCACCTTCCCTGTAGACTATCACAACTGATCCACCTTCCCTGTAGACTATCACAACTGATCCACCTTCCTGTAGACTATCACAACTGATCCACCTTCCCTGTAGACATCACAACTGATCCACCTTCCCTGTAGACTATCACAACTGATCCACCTTCCCTGTAGACTATCACAACTGATCCACCTTCCCTGTAGACTATCACAACTGATCCACCTTCCCTGTAGACTATCACAACTGATCCACCTTCCCTGTAGACTATCACAACTGATCCACCTTCCCTGTAGACTATCACAACGATCCACCTTCCCTGTAGACTATCACAACTAATCCACCTTCCACTGTAGACTATCACAACTGATCCACCTTCCCTGTAGACTATCACAACTGATCCACCTTCCCTGTAGACTATCACAAATGATCCACCTTCCCTGTAGACTATCACAACTGATCCACCTTCCCTGTAGACTATCACAACTGATCCACCTTCCCTGTAGACTATCACAACTGATCCACCTTCCCTGTAGACTATCACAACTGATCCACCTTCCCTACAACCTCTCACAACTGATCCACCTTCCCTACAACCTATCACAACTGATCCACCTTCCCTGTAGACTATCACAACTGATCCACCTACCCTACAACCTATCACAACTGATCCACCTTCCCTACAACCTCTCACAACTGATCCACCTTCCCTACAACCTCTCACAACTGATCCACCTTCCCTACAACCTATCACAACTGATCCACCTTCCCTACAACCTCTCACAACTGATCCACCTTCCCTACAACTCTCACAACTGATCCACCTTCCCTACAACCTATCACAACTGATCCACCTTCCCTACAACCCTCACAACTGATCCACCTTCCCTACAACCTCTCACAACTGATCCACCTTCCCTACACCTATCACAACTGATCCACCTTCCCTACAACCTCTCACAACTGATCCACCTTCCCTACAACCTACACAACTGATCCACCTTCCCTACAACCTCTCACAACTGATCCACCTTCCCTACAACCTATCACAACTGATCCACCTTCCCTACAACCTCTCACAACTGATCCACCTTCCCTACAACCTCTCACAACTGATCCACCTTCCCTACAACCTATCACAACTGATCCACCTTCAGTACAACCTCTCACAACTGATCCACCTTCCCTACAACCTCTCACAACTGATCCCCCTTCCCTACAACCTCTCACAACTGATCCACCTTCCCTACAACCTCTCACAACTGATCCACCTTCCCTGTAGACTATCACAACTGATCCACCTTCCCTGTAGACTATCACAACTGATCCACCTTCCCTGTAGACTATCACAATTGATCCACCTTCCCTGTAGACTATCACAATTGATCCACCTTCCCTGTAGACTATCACAACTGATCCACCTTCCCTGTAGACTATCACAACTGATCCACCTTCCCTGTAGACTATCACAATTGATCCACCTTCCCTGTAGACTATCACAACTGATCCACCTTCCCTGTAGACTATCACAACTGATCCACCTTCCCTGTAGACTATCACAACTGATCCACCTTCCCTGTAGACTATCACAACTGATCCACCTTCCCTGTAGACTATCACAACTGATCCACCTTCCCTGTAGACTATCACAACTGATCCACCTTCCCTGTAGACTATCACAACTGATCCACCTTCCCTGTAGACCATCAATAACAAGTTTACCAAACATTTAATAATAACATTTGGTTGACACAAGTTCCTTCAATATTTTCCCTCCTCACCTCAGGTTAAAAATGTTTGACTCATTAAATACATTATTGTCTGGCAACTTCTCTTTTGGATCTGGTCATTTTTCATAATGTTTATCTTTATTTGCTAATTTCTTATTCTCTCCACATTGTTCGTTAATTTTCAGGTATATTTTACGTTGTTTATCTTCTTTCTTTCTACTTCTGATGTTTCCTTATTTTTTATTTTGTTTTTAATTCATTCACTATAGACTCCTTTGCTTCGCTATTAGTTTCTTCTGTTATTATCGCTCTTCCTCTGCTCATCTCTTTCGTTATTCTTTCCTTAAATCGTTTCCTACATTCCTTTCTTTATTCTTATTTTCTTACTAGCAAATCGTATCCTTTTTTTTTTTCAACTCCGTGTCTAGTCTTCTCACTTCCCAGTTCTCATGTCGTTGAATGTATCAGGATTAAATTTTAGTAATTACTTTGATGACCTGCAAGTCTGTTAATGTCATCCCTGAGCCTCTTCTCTCCTGTTACCTGATTATCTTACTCCCTCAATCTTATTATCTTGTCCTCCTTACCTTCAACTCTCCCCCCCTCCCTTCATCCTATGTTCTGCCTCCCTTATCTCTCTATTCCCCTCTCACCCAGTTTTATGTTCAGTTTTCCTTCAACTAATCTCTCTCCCTCCCTTATCTTATCTTATCTTATCTTATCCCTCATGTGTTCACGACTACTTGTCCTCAGCCCCACTCCCCTTTCATATTACCCACTCCCCTTTCATCTTACCCACTCCCCTTTCATCTTACCATCTCCTCCTTCGTCTTACCATCTCCCCCTCCCTCCTACCACCCTCCTCCGTCCTACCATCTCCTCCTCCCTCCTACTACCCCCTCCGTCCGACCCCCCCCCCTCCCTCCTACCGGGTTACTTCTTACCTTCATCTCAGTGTCGTAAGAGACGGAGCCACCGAGGAGAACGAGGATATAGGAGGAGATGTCTCCGCTACAGGCTGGTCTCTGCCACTCCAGCACCACGTTAGACAGTCGCTCGTTCACTGACAACTGGCGAGGCTTCAGGTGCTCAGTGCTGTCAGCTGCAACAACAACAAATATATACACCTCAATACCACCATCTATCAGTGATTTATGACATTGTTTAACGAGTAAACCTGGTTTAACAGTAAAATAATTTTCTTTAATAATATAGGTTTAACAGTAATATAGGTTGTTTAACGAGTAAACCTGGTTTAACTGTAAAATAATTTTCTTTAATAATATAGGTTTATTTAACAGTAATATAGGTTACCTTAACAGTAAGATAGGTTGCTTTAACAGTAAGATAGGTTGCTTTAACAGTAAGATAGGTTGCTTTAACAGTAAGATAGGTTGCTTTAACAGTAAGATAGGTTGCTTTAACAGTAAGATAGGTTGCTTTAACAGTAAGATAGGTTGCTTTAACAGTAAGATAGGTTGCTTTAACAGTAAGATAGGTTGCCTTAATAGTAAGATAGGTTGCTTTAACAGTAAGACAGGTTGCTTTATCATCAAGATAGGTTGCTTTAGAGCAGTAAAACAGGTCCCTACAAGTGTTATCTAACTGTTGACAGTTACATCATAGGGGGGAAAAATACTATTTTATTTTATTTGTTTTTCTTAGGTTAAGAAGAATACGTTACGACTAACATATCCCTGGAGTCCACCAGGACTGGTTGCTTGTGCCACCTGTTACCTCGGCTAATTAATGAAGCCAACTCGTACCTAATTAATGAAGCCAAGTCGTACCTAATTAATGAAGCCAAGTCGTACCTAATTAATGAAGCTAAGCCATAATTAATGAAACTGAAAAAAAAATAGAGTGATTTAGAGATTCTTAACAAGACGCTGGAATGACTTCGTATATAAGAGAGACTATGTACACTATGTACTTCACTATCATGCCAAGAGCTGTGCTGTGACTGAGAATTTACTCTGACGAATGTATCAAAGGTTCACATGTATTCAAGAATGTTTCTGAAAATGTTTTGCCCTTTTTATTTTATGAGAATGATTATTTATAGCGTTTGATTTTTAAGCACAAAGTCCATCTTATTCCAATGAAATTCAATATTAAACTGCTGAAGAAAGTAGTGGTGTTTTGTTCGTCAGGAAAGATGAGTGTGCTGACACAAATGTGTCAGGGGATCTACGGAATAAATAAACAACTTGGAATATAATATAATGTATTGGAATATAATTGTATTAAAAGTTATTCGGCAGTTTTATGTTATTTTTCCAGTAGTTAACAACACTAGGATGTTCACTGTTGACTTTATAAAATGTTTTAACATCGTAGATTAAATGGAAACAATTATATTTACGCTGTTTTATTTACAGGAAAATATTATAGCTTTTTGTGGACACTAGACTGCCTTTTTAGGTTTAAAGACTATCTACTGCACGAGGTTCATCATGGCAGGTTTCCACCTGTACACCACCAGCCAAGGCTATTTTATATTGTATATTTGTATATAAATGAAATACAATACCGACAAGATGAAGAAGTAAACACCTGTGCAACACCTGAGTATATTTATAGATGTTTCGCCGTCCAGTGGCTTTATCAATATAAGAGTGTGTATTATGCTGATAAAGACACTGAATGGTGGAACGTCTACAGATACCCAGTTGATGCACAGAATGATGCTGTGATGCTGTGATGCTGTGATGTTGTGATGCTGTGATGTGATGCTGTGATGTGATGCTGTGATGCTGTGTTGCTGTGATGTGATGCAGTGATGCTGTGATGTTGTGATGCTGTGTTGCTGTGATGCTGTGTTCCTGTGATGCTTTGTTGCTGTGATGCTGTGGTGCTGTGTTGCTGTGATGTTGTGATGCTGTGATGCTGTGATGTTGTGATGCTGTGTTGCTGTGATGCTGTGATGCTTTGTTGCTGTGATGCTGTGATGCTTTGTTGCTGTGATGCTGTGTTGCTGTGATGCTGTGTTGCTGTGTTGCTGTGATGTCATGCTGTGATACTGTGATGTTGTGATGCTGTGTTGCTGTAATGTGATGCTGTGTTGCTGTAATGTGATGCTGTGATGTTGTGATGCTGTGTTGCTGTGATGTCATGCTGTGATGTGATGCTGTGATGTTGTGTTGCTGTAATGTGATGCTGTGATGATGTGATGTGATGCTGTGATGCTGTAATGTGATGCTGTGATGCTGTAATGTGATGCTGTGATGATGTGATGTGATGCTGTGATGTTGTGATGTGATGCTGTGTTGCTGTAATGTGATGCTGTGATGCTGTGATGTTGTGATGCTGTATTGCTGTAATGTGATGCTGTGATGCTGTGATGTTGTGATGCTGTGATGCTGGGGAGGAACTTCTGACGCTAACAGTTAAAGCTACTGTGTCGTCTACGGATCAAAGGTGTTTACTTCCCATACCTCAGGCGCTGCATGGCCCTTAAAGATCTACAGCTTCCCCTTGAAGATAAGAGAAATAATGCTATCCTTAAATAAGAATTAGTTGGTTAGTATAATAATAATAATAATAATAATAATAATAATAATAATAATAATAATAATCTTTATTTACTACAAGTACATGTACAAGGTATACAGTCCTAGCTGACATCAGTAACATACTACTATATAGAAAGCTGCTTGTTATGCTGAGTATTTCCTGAAAATTAGGTCAGTTTTGTCCCAGGATGCGACCCACACCTGTCGACTAACACCCAGGTACCTATTTTACTGATGGGTGAACAGGGACAGTAGGTGTCTTATGGAAACACGTCCCTTATGTTATCCAGCCGTACCGGAGGAGATTCGAACTCCGGACCTCAGTGTGTGAGCCGAGTGCGCTAATGATCGAGCTACGGGACACAGCATTCACCTAATTACGTTTGAAGCCTCTTTGTTACACTAGTCATTAAGGCTGCGTGTCACCTATACACGTATTCAACATGGTCAAAAATACTGCCATCCATGAAAGACTGAATTAAAGTCTCTGTGTATATACCCTGTGTATATACCCTGTGTATATACCCTGTGTATATACCCTGTGTATATACAGTGTGTATATACCCTGTGTATATACAGTGTATATAACCCTCCCTACTCCGGGTTATCCTGGGTAGCTAACCCTCCCTACTCCGGGTTATCCTGGGTGTATAACACTCCCTACTCCGGGCTATCCTGGGTAGCTAACCCTCCCTACTCCGGGTTATCCTGGGTAGCTAACCCTCCTTACTCCGAATTATCCTGGGTAGCTAACCCTCCCTACTCCGGGTTATCCTGGGTAGCTAACCCTCCCTACTCCGGGTTATCCTGGGTAGCTAACCCTCCCTACTCCGGGTTATCCTGGGTAGCTAACCCTCCCTACTCCGGGTTATCCTGGGTAGCTAACCCTACCTACTCCGGGCTATCCTGGGTAGCTAACCCTCCCTACTCCGGGTTATCCTGGATAGCTAACCCTCCTTACTCCGGGTTATCCTGGGTAGCTAACCCTCCCTACTCCGGGTTAACCTGGGTAGCTAACCCTCCCTACTCCGGGTTATCGTGGGTAGCTAACCCTCCCTACTCCGGGTTATCGTGGGTAGCTAACCCTCCCTACTCCGGGTTATCGTGGGTACCTATCCCTCCCTACTCCGGGTTATCGTGGGTAGCTAACCCTCCCTACTCCGGGTTATCGTGGGTACCTAACCCTCCCTACTCCGGGTTATCGTGGGTAGCTAACCCTCCCTACTCCGGGTTATCGTGGGTACCTAACCCTCCCTACTCCGGGTTATCGTGGGTACCTAACCCTCCCTACTCCGGGTTATCGTGGGTACCTAACCCTCCCTACTCCGGGTTATCGTGGGTACCTAACCCTCCCTACTCCGGGTTATCCTGGGTACCTAACCCTCCCTACTCCGGGTTATCGTGGGTACCTAACCCTCCCTACTCCGGGTTATCCTGGGTACCTAACCCTCCCTACTCCGGGTTATCCTGGGTACCTAACCCTCCCTACTCCGGGTTATCCTGGGTACCTAACCCTCCCTACTCCGGGTTAAAAAATCCCAGTAAATCTTATCTTAATATAATAACATATTTATTTCTAGAAGTACATGTACAAGGTATACAAGTTATACAAGGTATACAAGGCTTAGGTGACACCAGTGACATACTACTATATAGAAAGTCCCTTGTTATGCTGAGCATTTCAGGCAAATTAGGTAAATTTTGTCCCAGGATGCGACCCACACCAGTCAACTAACACCCAAGTACCCATTTTATACTGATAGGTGAACAGGGACAGCAGGTGTCTTATGGAAATACGTCTTAATGTTGCTAGCCGTACCGGGGATCGAACCCTGGACCTACCTGGAGGTTACCTGGAGGTTATTCCGGGGATCAACGCCCCCGCGGCCCGGTCCATGACCAGGCCTCCCGATGGATCAGGGCCTGATCAACTAGGCTGTTACTGCTGGCCGCATGCAGCCCAACGTACGAGCCACAGCCCGGCTGATCCGGCACTGACTTTAGGTATCTGTCCAGCTCTCTCTTGAAGGCAGCCAGGGGTTTATTGGCAATTCCCCTAATGCTTGATGGGAGGCTGTTGAACAGTCTTGGGCCCAGGACACTTATGGTGTTTTCCCTTAGTGTACCAATGGCGCCCCTACTTTTTATTGGGGGCATTTTGCATCGCCTGCCCAGTCTTTTACTTTCGTAAGGAGTGATTTCTGTGTGCAGATTTGGGACCATTCCTTCCAAGATTTTCCAAGTGTAGATTATGATATATCTCTCCCTCCTGCGTTCCAACGAGTACAAGTCAAGTGCTTCCAAGCGTTCCGTAGTTAAGGTGCTTGACAGAACTTATACGTGCAGTAAAGGATCTCTGTACACTCTCTAGATCTGCGATTTCACCTGCTTTGAATGGAGATGTTAATGTACAGCAGTATTCCAGCCTAGAGAGAACAAGTGATTTGAAAAGGATCATCATGGGCTTGGCATCTCTCGTTTTGAAAGTTCTCATTATCCATCCTATCATTTTCTTTGCACGTGCGATCGTGGCACTGTTGTGATCCTTGAAAGTGAGATCCTCAGACATTACTACTCCCAGGTCCCT